AATAATAATGTTAAAAAAGAACAAACTCTCTCTCTCTCCCTCTCTCTCACCCATCATCTAGTCACTAAGAACACGTTTACGAAGCCCCACTTCCGATTAAAAAAGGACTCTTTGACGAGAAGTAATGTTACGCTTGTGAAAAACTAAATCTTTGATGACATCAGACGAGAGGCAGCTTATACTAAGTAGAGATTCTGAGGTTACGATTTTTCAAAGGCTTAAAGTAAAGATCTCCTCACGATTCATAAGAAGTGAGCAATTCTTACCCCCTTGGCGCTCGCTGTCTTTGGAACATCTGGAAAACTTGAAATGCGTTCCAGCTCATATCTCGTGGCGATGTCATAGAGTTTAGACATCTGCTAAAGCCGTCTGCAATCTGCCGTCTACGTCACTGCCAATGCGCCATAATCCCCAACACTTTCAACTGTTCACCTTTTCGTTATCAGAGTTCAGACCCTCGGTAGATGAGTTTTGCAAACTCGCTATATGGTGAAGGGTGGGACAAGAAACGTTTCAAATAAACTGTTTTTTAGTACCGGTATGTTTTATAATTCGCAATAATTGTTGAGTAATATGTTTTATAATTCACAATAATTGTTATGTGAAATGTTTTAATACTCAGAATATATTTGTTTTTAATATAGTTTATGACTGACAATAGTTGTTGTTAAATTTGTTTTATAATAAATTTACAATAATTATTATGTTTTATAATTCACGGTAGATTCTAATTATTGCTTAATAATAATATTATGTCGCATAATTCACAATATTTGTTGCTTAATATTTTACCTAGTTCACTATAATTGCCGTTTATTACGAATTACTATTTACAATGATTGTTGTTTATTATGTTCTATAGCTCACAACGATTGTAAAAGTTAACGTTGCTTGTGAAAGAGAAGTTAAGAGCGGCCTTACTTACGATTCTATTCACAATTTTAACAATAGATAATGGGGCTGTCAAAATCTAAGGAACTATTTTAAAAGATATAATGATGCAAATCTTTGATTCGGATAAATTTTTGTCGAAAGTTCAAAGCTGAATTATGAATAAGTCAAACGTTATTCTGCTCTAGATCTACCTCTTGAAGATCTTTGAGCTTTCCCCCCGTTTGTGCTTATAGCAAGGTAACCGCAGTTGTATAGAAGGAGAGGAAGAAAGAGGTTTGGGTATTGATAATGAACTTGATTTTATCTAAGTAATTTTTAAATTCTTTTTAGCATCCTCCATACAATCAAAGTGTGACATTATAAGTGGACATAGAAATCAGCCCAAATCTTTTCCAAATTCGTATTTTATCGAAAAGATCTTTGCACTTGAAACCTTTTGAAAGAGCGGATGGTTAAGTGTTGAGGGATAATAATAATAATATGACGCCTTTGTGAAATATACATCTTGTCAAAAGATTCGAAATGTAGATCTATGTATTTTACTTTCTGCTTTACTTTATTTCTTTAAGAAAAACGTACCCCTATGCGTTGGTGAATTGAAGATTTAAAAAAACAAAAAACAGGAGACCTCCCAAAAACCTTCTTTGGGTCTCTGTCTTTCATTTCACTGGCCCACCTTACCAGGTCGGTCTTTTTTTCGACTTTTTTTTTTGGGGGGGGGGGGGGTAACCTACAGTTTTCGCAACCCCCCAAGTGACGGAATTTTATCTGAATTCAAACTCATCACAGGGCTTTTGAAGCGAAGTTTTAGTTTTAGTAGTAGAGGTTTTACGGCGCTCGCAACTGCATAAGCTCATATGAACGCCAGAAGATAAGAGGTGTTACAAGACAGTAACAAACATAAAAGAGAAGAAGGGGAGATAAAGACGATAGATGTTTGATAGGAGCACACCACACCAGAGCACCCGCCAACCACCCACTTAAAGCGAAGATTGGGACAACTGGTAATGAGAAATAAAAATGAAATCAATAATTGATCTTCCGTCTGGTCCCATTCTTCCACCACAGTTCGACCTTTGAGTTTGAGGATGGTGGGGGATGTGGCTTGGATGAGGGTGGGTGCGGGAGGTGGATGTGGTGAGGGTGGGTGGGGGGAGTGGGTGGATT